TTTTACTTTTGATTACTGAGAAGGCACACTGTGGTGGATCATCGAAAGAGATGTCTGAAAAGGACAAAGGTCGCAGTGTTTTCTTTTACAGACAAAAGGTTTGCCCGTAGACAAAATGACCTTTGTGTTTTCTAAGGAAAATGATTCTTTATTGGAAAAATAAAGTTGTTGCTCTTCATTCCTCTGATTTACCTTGTGGCTTGCAAAGCCAAGAATCAGAGTTTTTGAGGTGTTCCTGTAATGAACAGGGCTTTGGAGGTTAACAACAGATTGTTCAGGGTCTCTGCTTCTTGAACTGGGTCCTGATGTGGTTCAGGGAAGTGCTTTAGTTTGGGTTAAGGTCCCTAAACCCTATATAGAAACTCTTCCCATCTCAGAAAATATCAGGCAAAGATTGCATAGTAATAAGGAGTCACCTCATTTCCTTCTTCCCCTAAATATAACTACAGTTGCCCTTCTATTTTAGCGGACTTGAAATCTGTGGTCTTGATTACTTACGGAGGGGCGATCCCCATTAGCTAAAATGGCATGCGTGCCTGCTGTGTACACACATTGTCACACACAGGAGCACACACCCATTCAAGCCAATGGGGCTTGAGTAGGCACGAGTTTTTGTTTTCACGGTGCGTGTGCGTGTGTGTGTGTGTCTGGAATGGATCCCCCCATGAAAACTAAGATACGACTGTACAGGTATACTTCAGTTAACAAACTCCTAGACATTATTACTTTAGCAGAAAATTTGGTACTGGCAGTAGAAATAACATGGAAAGAATAGGTTCTTACACCACAAAAATACAAGAGCAGTTCAATATGTTTCACCATAGTTTTTAGTCAAAACTATGTATTTATGTATTTATTATTGGTGTCCGATGCCAATAATTATTCATAACTAATAGTATGCATACATGAAATGATACAACCAAATCAGGTAAATCTTGCATAAGCAAACAAAGGCATTTTGAACCTTCTACAGCTCACACTAAGAGCCAGTGTGTTGTAGAGGTTGAACGCAGGACTAGGACTCTGGGAAACCAGGGTTCGAATCCCTGCTCAGCCATGGAAATTCACTGGGTGACTAAACCCCTCTGAACAAATCTTGCCAAGAAAACCCTGTGGCAGGGTCACTTTGGGGTTGCCATAAGTGACTTGAAGGCACACAACAAAAAGAACAAGTAGGACGGGAAACGATATATTCTGGGTTTGCTGTGACTAGCCAAGGATACTAGGTCCCCTCATTTCCATCATACACATTGAAGTCAGCAACTCTGGTAGCTTCGAGGTGGTGCAAGTCAACATCTCCCTCCCCTCATTGGGGAAGATATAAAAGAACTACAGGGAAAATGTTTGGGGGATAAAAAGGACAAAAAGGCACATTTAAATGCTTCCATCTTGATAACAACAAGCAAGTAGGGCATAGACCTAAGAGTTAGGGGTTCCTCCAACATATATGCTCCTTCACCGTAAGATAGCTTTGTCTCTCTAGGTGTAACATGCTAGTATGTTGCATTAATAGATAGAAGTCTTAATTGCATACTTCATTTAAGTAGCATAATATAATTGTGCTTGGAGCTGAAGATTGATTTTAGTATTGCGTTTATACCACATTGGCTGTAAGGTCCTTTATCTTGGAGACTTCCAGGCTCCTTAATAAAAAGACTTGCCAGCCAAATGCAATCACCTGTTCTTAGAATCCATCAGTTTGGACCTTAGGGAGAAATTAGTATTGCAGCAGTTTGATTTTCTTTGGATTTATAGTGATTTAACTTTTGAACTTTGTGGCTTTTATTGTTGGGTTGTTTTGAATGGGGTTTTGATATGTATTTTATATTTTGTTATACATCATCTCAGGACCTTTGTAGCAAGGCAGTTTCTAAACCCATTTCCTTCCAGCCCAGAAAATAATTCAGCTAAGAGGAAACTTTTTTTCCTCTTGCATTTTCTTTTTTTTTTCTTTTCCATCAAATGCTCAGAGCCATTTTAAAAAACTGAAAAACAACATTATCAAAACTGGAAAAATATTTTTAAAAATCCCAGTAATGTCTATCCTAGAAAAAGCTATTTAAACAACAAATAAGAAGGTCTTGCCTTCCTGAGAGGGACAACATAGTGGGTGGGAAAACCTTGGGAAAGATTGTTTTCTAGTTTACAATGGATGCAGGCAGCCTATTCCAGATAGTCAGACTTTTGTATTTGGAACCTGTAAACATAGCAGTTTTTTTTCTCTCCAGAGGATCAAGTGCTAGCCCTTCTGGTTTGTGCCTGTTTCATGGTAGATTTGGAGTCCAAAATTGTTCAGACAGCAACCAAGGCTCCTGTTTACAACCAGCTCCAAGCATGCTTTTGGTCATGCTACTGAATTGTGGTGACCGATTCTCCTGCGTTGCTCTGGAATGCATCGTAGAGGCATTGCCTCCCACTCTTTAACAGGCAGAACTTGACAGAGCTCAGCAGCTGCAGCGTCTGTCTGCGGAGATGTTTGCTAACAAATGTTGCTATTTAATTATATGCATTTAATGTAGTTATTAAAAGTCTCTCTCTGGGCTATTTTGATTATTCTCATTTCCAGGTGCACTACATGGCGCTCGAGGCCAGCAGTTGGGAATGTGGGGTGTCAGGCCTGCTTTTCCCCCAACTCTTTTTTAAAAGGTTGGTAGTGATAGGATAGTTCCTTTATTTGCGCTGGAGGGATCAAGTCACATACTGTAATGGCGACAGGCTGAAATTTGTGGGACTGTTCTAGATTGAAGTAACTGGGGGATCATGCTAACTTCAAATGTATATTGCTGCTTCTGCTGCTGTTGTAGGCCTTCAGGTTGTTTCTGCCTTATGGAGACCCTAAGGCAAACCTATCAGTGTTTTCTCAGATTTGTTCATAAGGGATTTGGCATTGCCTTCCTCTGAAGCTGAGAGAGTGTGAGTAGCCTGAGGTCATATGGTGGGCTTCCGTTTCCAACACTCAGACCACTATACCACACTGGCTGTTGTTGTTGTTGTTGTCTGCCTTCAAGTCATGCCTGACATATGGTGATCCTAAAGTGAACCTGGCTTTTCTTGCCGAGATTTGTTCAGAGGAGTTTTGCCATTGCCTTCCCCTGAGGCTGAGAGCGTGTGACTTGCCCAAGGTCACCCAGTGGGTTTTCATTTCCAGCACTGAGACCACTACACCACACAGGCTCTCCCTCTTCAAATTAATACCCCTTCCCAGTTCAACCCTTATATTTAGTTCACAACACAAATCCTTAGATAGGGTCTTTCCGTATCCCAGTATTTCTTTTCCTTTGTCTTCACTCTCTCCTATTTGTAGCATGATTCAGGAAAGCCTAGTTTACATTCTACAATAAGAGTAGTGTTTTCAAGCCCTTCTAGGACCCCACTGAACATTAAACAAAAGACAGCTCCAGTGTTTCCACTATGAGCTGGCTTGCATTCACTTCCCTCTGTAACATTTGAAGGGCATCAACTTGTGCAAAAATGCACAGTAGACCCAAACCATTAACTGTAAAAGGCCAATATTTCTACAGGAATGCTTACTTCATGTTATGAATACCTTTTGAAATAGGATAGAAAAGTCATGGTTAATATACAGTGGGGAGTTCAAGGGGTGCACATGATTTCCTTTAAAACACCCCAAATCTGCTCCCTAAGGCAGCTGCCTCACTCTTGTCTAAAGGTAGGACCAACCCAGGGTACAATTGCTCCTTGAGATAATCTGGACCAGCAGGTTCTTCTTATGTTTCAAGATTATTTCATTATTCTTCTAGTTGGGGAAAGTGTATCAACTTTTTTTTTTTTTTTTACTAGAAGGATTATAAGTAGAAAACTGCACTGGGGAGATGAGTTTCAAGTTTGCTGGATCTCATCCCTCCTGGGGTAAGGATAAATGAAAACATTGTAGGGCCGGAGTTGGGAAACAGTGAGTTAAAAAGTAGTGCAATTAATTTAAGAGGGTGCAGTGGATTTAGATTTCCAAAATAAAGTAACATATAGTGACAATATTGCATTATTGGCGTAACAAGTAAAATTACCTAGTTAAATTTAAAGGGCATTTTTGAAGGCACATTGATTAGAGTGTTTCTAAGTTTTATGTTACTTCTTTATATCGATTTTAGGGATTTCTCTCCCACCTCCACCCCCCCAGCACAAAAGTAGCAAAAATAATGGAAAGGTAACAAGCAGTGATATGTTCAGTGTACAAGTTAAACGGGTAGAGTGAGAAAATGCAGCTTTCCTGACACCTTTGCCAACCGGAAACCATCTGTTTTTCTGTATTCTGTCCTAATGGTAGCATCTTGTCCTGAGTACAGGTTACATATCAGGACAATCAAATGTTGTGGCACACCCATTGCTTTAAATATGTGAATTTTTACAAGTTCAAGATTTTTCCATACCTTGGCTCAGTCATTAATCAGAATGGAGGCTGTAGTCAAGAGATTCAGAGGATGACTAGGATGTGGAAGGGCAGCTGTGAAGGAACTAGACAAGATCCTGAAGTGTAAAGATACATCACTGAATACTAAAGTTAGGACTGTCCATGCCAATGTATTTCTCATTTCTACAAATAGTTGTGAAAGTTGGACAGTGAAGCAGTGGCGTCCTCATCTGGGGTGTCACCTGATGTGGGGAGGTGGGGTTTCTGGGCAGGACTTCCGGCAGGGCTTCCAGGGGGCAGGATCATGGGGTCATGTGGAAAGCGGCCACGTGGACCGCAGAAATTGATGCCCGCCCAAGTCAAAGACTCCACCCTGAGGCCCGGAGACCCCCCCCCAGCCCTATGAAAACAGCCACCCCTGCCTGCCTGGGCCAGAGACCCCTCCCCGGAGGCCCAGAGATCCTGCTAGGCCTGTGAAAATGGCCACACAGCTGGGAAAACAGCCTCCCTGCCCCTAAGGAGTGCCTGCGGGGAGTGGGATATGTGACCAGGTGTCACCTCTCTTCTTCTGTGGTGTCAGCCGGTGTACCCCACACATCCCAGGGACACTACTGCAGTGAAGAAAGCTGATAGGAAGAAACTAATTTGAAATGTGTGCTGAAGAAGAGTTCTATGGATACTGTGGACTGCTAAAACGACAAATAAATAGCTCCTACAGCAAATCAAGCCTGAACTCTCCCTAGAAGCTAAGGCTGAGACTGTCATACTTTGGCCATATCATGTGAAGACATGGCTCACTAGAAAAGGCAATAATGTTTGGTAAAGTAGAAGGCAGTAGGAGAAAAGGAAGACCGCATTACAGATGGATGGACTCAGTCAAAGAATTCACAGTCCTGAGTCTGCAAGACTTCAGCAGGACTGTTGATGATGGGATGATTTGGAAGTCTTTCATTCATTGAATTGCTGTAAGTCTAAGTTGACTTGACAGAAGTTAACAACAACAACATGCAATGAAACCAGTAATAGAACGAATTACTTTTTCAGCACTGGAAAGAGTAATGTTAGTGAATGTGGTAATGAGTAGCAGGAACAAATGACTTCTAAAAAGTAGCATTCCAAGCTCTGTGCAAGAGCATGGTATTTGCACAGTGGTTTGTGGTTTGCGATGTGAGCATGGGAAGAAAAAAGATTTACCGATGATGCTCAAGTGCTGAATGGCACATGTGTTAAGCTTCATTCTGTGAGGAGGGGTAGGGAATGAAAAACCCCAGACAGCTTTTTAAAGAAACATCATTTTCTTCAGTGCGCTGTGTATTTCCATGTCCCATTTTGCCCTCAAGGATGCTTTCACAGCTTTAATTTACTGTTATTTTTAATAGCATTATTCTCCAATGGGTATCTATGTAATTGTTACAATACTTATTTTCCCATGACAGATTCTAGTTGATGGTTTATACTTAATTCAAGAAGCAGCCTGCTGGTATTCAGGTTGCTGCATATAATACTAGATTTATTCTCCTTTCTGTGTCTGTATGTGTAGGGGGAAATCTAGACAACTTATCTAACATAATATCTAACAAAATAATACTGTGCATGTTTTACTCAGAGATAAGTGCCACTATGTTCAGGGATACTTCTAAATAAGTGTGCTAAGGACTGCAGAATGAAATTTAAAACAGTGGTGTGTG